GGGGGTGTGCTGCTGTTTGCGTTTCTAATGAAATATTCAATTATAGCTCTGCATGCTTATAAACACGAGGAGCCTGTGTGGGATGCTATTAACGGTCAATTGCTCGGGATATTTTGTGAGAATTCAATGACACAAGCACAATTCAGTTTGTATTTGTGTGTACTTTCCCGAGATTCAGACATACTGGAAAATTAAAAAAAAAATAAAAAATCAAGGTAAGTGGTTGCAATCAACTTATTTGAGCTAAATTTAAATAAACAAATTTAGTTGACTAACTTTCAACATTTTGTTTTTAAATTTAGCTAAAATAAATTGTTTGCAACCACTTCCCTTAAAAAAAATGTAGTATAATTTTTTTTTCAGTGCGGTAATGTATGGAAAGTGATGTTTGATGGTGTTAGGCCTACAGTGTGTGTGTGTGTGTGTGTGTGTGTGTGTGTGTGTGGTTCAGGTATACCCTATGTTATGGGGACAAAATTGTCCCCACAAAGATGGCAATATCCAAAATCCTTGTCCTTGTGGGGACATTTTTTGGTCCCCACGAAGAAACAAGCTTGTAAATCATACAGAAAGTTTTTTGAAGAACTACAATTGGGGGTGTGCTGCTGTTTGCGTTTCTAATGAAATATTCAATTATAGCTCTGCATGCTTATAAACACGAGGAGCCTGTGTGGGATGCTATTAACGGTCAATTGCTCTGGATATTTTGTGAGAATTCAATGACACAAGCACAATTCAGTTTGTATTTGTGTGTACTTTCCTGAGATTCAGACATACTGGAAAATTTAAAAAAATAAATTTTGTTTAGTTTATTAATGGCATTGCTCAGTAGAAAAATGGCAAGCTTTGATTTTACTGATAATAAATTGTACTACTTTAACCTTACTCCACTCAAGTAGCATCGGACTTTAAGCTAATACAGAAAGCAGAAAGGACTATTGAGTTTGTAATGGCTATACCTCTTAGTTCAAGAGTTTCATATAGAAGTCTTTACTCTGAAATGTTTACTAGCTTTCAATATCCTGTTGTCTGGTTTCATGACCAACAATATCTCAAAACATTTCTATATTAAGCTTTAATTCAAACGTCTTAATTTCTCAGAAAGAGATTTCTGGGCTTGCTCAATTTTAAACAGGAATTTGAGTCAAGTTGGTGCTAATAAGAGCTATTTTTTTAGGGTTCTAGACATTCTTTTGATACATTGTTATTTTCAGAGAGGAGTTTCAGGACAGACTGTTAGCAGTTGTTTAGCAATTTACCTTTGTTAGCGTTAGCAACTCCAGCCCAGAATAATCCATGTGTTGGCATGAACAATTTAACAAACCTCACACATCCCATTCTGCCATCTGTCTTATCCTCTTCCTCTTACACACACACACAATGGAAGAAAGAAACTGAAATTTAGGTATGTAAATAAGAATATTACAAAATCAAAAACATGTGTGTGGTGTGAATGAATGAATGATGCATTTAAATAGCGCTTTATTGTGTATTTTTGTACACCCAAAGCGCTTTTCAGTCATGTGGGGGGGTCTCTCCTCAACCACCACCAGTGTGCAGTATTCACTTGGATGATGCGAAGGCAGTCACAGGACAACGGCGCCAGTGCGCTCACCAAACACCAGCTACAGGTGGAGAGGAGAGAGAGTCACAGAGCCAATCAAGTGGTTGAGGATTATTAGGAGGCCATGATTGACAAAGGCCAGGGGGGCAGTTTTGGCCAGGACACCAGGGTTACACCCCTACTCTTTACGAGATGTGCCATGGGATTTTTAATGACCACAGAGAGTCAGGACCTCAGTTTAATGACTCATCCGAAAGATGGTGCTTTTTGATAGTATAGTGTCCCCGTCACTATACTGGGACGTTAGGACCCACACAGACCACAGGGTGAGCACCCCCTGCTGGCCTCACTAACACCTCTTCCAACAGCAACCTAGTTTTCCCAGGAGGTCTCCCATCCAGCTACTGACCAGGCTCAACCCTGCTTAGCTTCAGTGTGCAACCAGTCTTGGGCTGCAGGGTGATATTGTACAGTACATGTGATTTATTTCCCATACTACAGCCATTTGTGGTTTGCTCACTGGAGATATTAAAGCTCTCTTTTCTGTAAAGCTGCTTACAAACAATGTGATTTGTGAAACACGCTATAGAAACCAGACTTGAGTTATGGGTGCTGAGTTCACGCCTCTCAAAATATATATATGTATGTATGTGTGTGTGTGTGTGTGGTTCAGGTATACCCTATGTTATGGGGACAAAATATCCCCACAAAGATGGCAAAATCCAAAATCTTTATCCTCGTACTTGTGGGGACATTTTCGGGGCCCATGAGCAAAACAGCTTAGAAATCATACTAAGCGTTGATTTTTGAAATTCTGAAAATGCCTGTATGTTTGTGTGAGGGGTAGGTTCTGGTGTAGGGTTAGGGTGAGGGGATAGAAAATACAGTTTGGACAGTATAAAAACCATTACATCTATGGAGAGTTTAGCAGAGTGTGTGTATTTATGTGTGTGTGTTTTTGTGTGTGTGTGTGTGTGTGTGTGTGTGTGTGTGTGTGTGTGTGTGTGTGTGTGTGTGTGTGAGTGTGTGTGTGTGTGTGTAGGAGGCAGAGATTCCCAGCTAACAGAGGACCTTCTCAGAACTTTGGCTAATGTTCTGGTAAGGTTTTCTCAAAGCTATCAACAAACGATCTTCAAGTAACATCAACAGAACATTCGTTCAATGTTATCTGGTCTTTAGTAATATTCTTACATTTTAGCACAGCACCATTATTTATACAACATTTAAGATTTTTCACTGAAACATTTTCATTAGACATTCTTCTAGCATTTATTTTTGTGTGTGAGTGTGTGAGTGTGTGAGTGTGTGTGTGTGTGTGTGTGAGTGTGTAGGAGGCAGAGATTCCCAGCTAACAGAGGACCTTCTCAGAACTTTGGTTAATGTTCTGGTAAGGTTTTCTCAAAGCTATCAACAAACGATCTTCAAGTAACATCAACAGAACATTCGTTCAACGTTATCTGGTCTTTAGTAATATTCTTACATTTTAGCACAGCACCATTATTTATACAACATTTAAGATTTTTCACTGAAACATTTTCATTCGACATTCTTCTTTTTTAAAAGTAGTTGTTTTAGAACGTTCAGCGAGCATTCAAAAGTAACGTCCCCATAATGTTTGCAAAACGATACAATGGAATGTTTCCTTAATGTTAACGCATAACCTAGAATACACTATTTTAAAACATTTCAAAAAATTTAGAACATACAAACTAGACATTTTAAACATTCAGAAATAACATATGTAAGCAAAACAATCTTTGAAGCATATAGGCGTGAATGATCGAGCAGCCACAGAAAACACGAGATAGTCTCCGTACATTTTAACCAATAAGAAATGGCTTTATTCTCATTTTCATAGTTCATTTGAGGCAGTTTCTGGCGTTATTTTAATGGCAAATGTCAAGAGTGCATTATTGTAATACGAGAGAATGTGTGCGCCCTCAAACTTTGTCCTGTGTACGCGCAAATAAGTGCTTATTGTAAACAGGTATTTATTCAATCAATTTATTTAGTGAAGCACAGAGCTCATAGAAAGAATGTGTGTAGGCCTATCTACCAGGTACTGTAGCTGGGGTTTGCGGGGCCCCAGTGCAGGTTGTACCAGTGGGCCCTGTTTGAAATTGTTTAATGTGCATGTTCGTTCTATTTATTTATTTGTGCTATTTACACAATGTTTACATTTTTATATTTTTTTTCAAGTTTGTAGGTGTCCAGGTACAGAAGCCGAATAATCAAATGTAAAATAGCACTGCATAGTCTTTCTGCACAACTTCAACATTTCTCACATTATCACAGTTTATTTGCTATAGTTTAGAAAATGGTAATAAAATATGACATCCAATATAATGATAATATAAATTCTGCCATTGTTCACTCACGCTCAAGTTGTTCCAAACTTATGATATTCTGTATTTGGTGGAACATAAAAGAAAATATTTTGAAGAATGTTGGTAACCAAACATTTGTTGGTCTCCACTGACTTATATAGTATGATGGGAAAATACTATGGAAGTCAACGGGGACCAGCAGCTGTCTTGTTCCCCACATTCTTAAAAACATCTTTGTTTGTGTTCAGAAGCAGAAAGAAATTCATAAAGGTTCAGAACAACTTGAGATGATGAGTAAATGATGAGCGAATTTTCCTGTCCAGTTGTTCAATAGAAAAGGTAGCCTACATGAAAACCAACAGGATACTTCAGAACCGAGTGATCAAAATAGGGCAGGATCTTTAAATGCATCCAATCATTTGGCATAGGTGAGATCATGAAAATGAGCTCTTCCTATTGACACTGTATAACACTGCAAACATATGACAAGTGGATTGTTTGAATGGGAAGAGGAAGTAGGTGTAAAGCACTCGAGGTAAACACAATCTAGCTGACAAGTTAATGTGCCCATGCACTTTATTGTCATTTGTATGTAGGACATGCATAATGTCAAATGTGACCCTGGAGCACAAAAGCAGTGTTAAGTCGCTGGGGTATATTTGTAGCAATAGCCAAAAATACATTGTATGGGTCACAATTATTGATTTCTCTTTTATGCCAAAAATCATTAGGATATTAAGTAAAGATCATGTTTCATGAACATATTTAGTAAATGTCCTACCGTAAATATATCAAAACTTAATGTTTGATTAGTAATATGCATTGCTAAGAACTTCATTTGGACAACTTTAAAGATGATTTTCTCAATATTTAGATTTTTTTGCACCCTCAGATTCCAGATTTTCAAATAGTTGTATCTCAGCCAAATATTGTCCGATCCTAACAAACCATACATCAATGGAAATATTATTTATTCAGCTTTCAGATGATGTATACATATCAATTTCGAAAAATTGACCCTTATGACTGGTTTTGTGCTCCAATTTACAGCTTTTCACAATTTTTAATCACTCTTTTTAGCTTTTAGCAGTTAGCAGTTAGTCGACATTGCAGCATGCCGTTAATTATTAATAGTGGGGTTTTTTTAACTGTTTAGAACAGTTTTATCTTGAAATTTGATACTTCAGTGCTTGACATTCACTGTCAGCTAACATAAAATGTTGTGTAACGTTTATTTTGTTGTAAATAAATGTACACAAAATTGAATAGAAAATATTAAACAGGTACAGCAGGTGAAAGCAATGTGGAAAACATTATGATTTCACATAATGGACATAATGATGCATTGTGAATTAAATGAAACATATTTAGAAAACAATGCCTTGAAGCATTAAAATACAGTAATCTATTCAAAAGTGCAGTAAACAGCATGAGTTTGCTGCTCACATGGCTTATAATAAAGCACTTTGTG